AGTGACACATATTTTGGTAAAGGGGATTGAACCTAAGCTCTTGAACGTGGTATGCAAATATGTGCTATGCAAATACTTTATCTTGGAAAGTTACTACATACATCGTCAGGTTTAACAAAAATCCCTACATTTTGAGATAAGATCTCACTATGTTGTGTATTCAGTCCTTGAACTCAGAATCTCCTGCCTCAAACTGTGCCACCAGGTCTAGCTATGGGTGGTCCAAACTCTCTAGGAGTTCTTTCCTCAGGCAGGGACACAGCAATGGTGGTCAAAGTTCAGGCAGGCAGAACTCAGGGTAGTCTTGTGTGGATAGGCTGGTCTAGTGTGCTGAGAGCAGACCTAGGAATTTCCTTCTGGCAGATCATGCTGGGGGAGACTCCGGATGGTCCAGCTTGGATAGGCTGGTCTTTGGCAGAGGCCTGGCCCTCTGGCAAAGGCCTCCAGCAGATGACTGGCAGTGGAGGTCAAAGATCCAGCAGGCAGGCTGGGACTCAGGATGGTCCCACATGGATAGGGGGATCTTTAGCAGGGGCCCTGGAGCTCCAGTGGAGGACTGGCAGTGGAGGTCAGAGATCAGGCAGGCGGGGACTCAGAGTGTTCCTCCCATGGATAGGTGCAGCTCTAGTGTGCTCAGAGAAGCTCCAGGAAGTTCCCTGGAGGTGGTGAGATTGTTGGATCTGCCCTCTGTCCAGTGCTCAACCAGAGCAGTGGGGCAGTGGGCAGGTTCTTGGGGGGGGGGCCGAGTGGGGCGGGGCGAGTTGTGTATCAGAGCACCAGGAGTACTTTCGCTGGGGACAATACACAGGGGGTGTGAGATTCGGGCCAATCCAGGGAGTTCCCAGGGAAGGGTGTGGAGGGGGATTCAACCTGAACAGGTCCCGGATTCACCTCCAACAGAGGCCTGGTGATGGGAGTCAAAGACCCAGCAGGCAGGGACTCAGGATGGTTTTGCAGGGATAGGTGTATCTCTGGCAGGTGCCCAGAGCTTAGGCAGAGGACTGGCGGTGGGGGTCAGAGGTCAGGGAGGCCGTGCTACTTAATTTTTGAGCTAATCTTGTATCCTGACAAATTACTTAAGGTGTTTCTTAGCTGTTAAGAAATCACTGGTAGTTTTTTTTTTTGGGGGGGGGATATACATACATACATACATACATACATATTCTGTAAATAGCAAACATACTTCTTCCTTTCCAATTTGTATCACTTGTGTCTCCTTTTGTTGTCATATTGCTGTCTTAGACCTTCAAGTACTATATTGAATAAATATGGAGAGATTGGACAGTCTTGTCTTGATTTCAATAAGATCATTTTGAGTTTCTCTTCATTCAGTTTGATGTTGGCTGTAGGCTTGCTGTATATTGCTTTTATTATGTTTAGATGTTTCTTGTATCCATGATTTCCTAAAACCCTTTCATGAAGAGATGTCGGGTTTTGTCAAAGGATTTTTCAGCATCTAGGGATGTCATATGATTTTTTCTTTCAGTTTGTTTTTATGGTAGATAACATTAACAGATTTTTCATATGTTGAACCATCCCTGCATCTCTGGGATGTAGCCTACTTGAGCATCATAGGTGATTTTTTTTTTTTTTTGATGTGCTCTTGGATTTGATTTGACAGTATTTATTGAGTATTATTTGTGACAATTTTCATGGGGGAGATTGGTCTGTAATTCTATTTCTTAGTTGCACCTTTGTGTGCTTTGGGTATCAGGGTAACTGCAGCCTTGTAAAAAGAGTTTAGCAATGTTCCATCTGTTTATATTGTGTGGAAAAAGTTGAGGAGTATTGGTATTAGCTCTTATTTGAAATTCTGTTAGATTTCTGTGCTGAAATCTTCTTTCCATGGGCTTTTTCTGATTAGGAAACTTTTGATGATGGTTTCTATTTCATTGAGGGTTATAGGTCAATTTAAATTGTATGTCTGGTCTTGATTTAATCTTGGTATATGTTACATATCCAGAAAAAAATTGTCCATTTATTTTACATTTTCCAGTTTTGTAGAATACAGGCTTTCAAACGATAACCCAATGATTCTCTGGATTTCCTCACTGCCTGTTATATCTCCCTTATGGAAAGCAGTGCTAAGAGGACATTTTATAGCACTAAGTGCCTACATAAAGAGGGTGGAGAAATATCACACTAGTGGTTTAACAGCATACCTGAAAGCCCAGGAACAAAAAGAAGCAAAGTCACCCAGGAGAAGTAGATGATAGGAAATGACCAAATTGAGGGCTGAAATCAATAAAATAGAAACAAAGAGAACAATTCAAAGAATCAATGAAACAATGAGTTGGTTCTTGAAGAAAATCAACAAGATAGACAAACCCTTAACCAAACTAACCAAAAGACAGAAAGAAAATTCCCAAATCAATAAAATCAGAATTGAGGTACAGTTATATGAATGCTTTTTTAAACAACCTTTGGTTAGGTAGTGATAATACTTGTGTCATAAAGATAGGAACAGGAGTGTGCTACAATTTGAAAACACTTCTGTTCATTCAATGGGAAGTAAAAGCTAAATGTTTGTTGTGATATCTTTATCTTGTGACCTTCTGTCTTTGACTTTCTGAATCAAGAGTTTGCTCTACTTGTATCATTTGAGGAACATAAAGCCTTTGTGTTTGCTGTTGGACTCTGTAAGTTTCCTGTATTTTCCTAGTCCTGTTGGGGACAAGGAATGCCTTCCACATCAGCATTTGATAGTTAAGACATTTGTCAAATATAAGAGCATATGGCATACTTGTTTCTTTGTCAAATTTGTCTGTTTTTTTTTTAAATTTGAAAATATTTGACACACTTGCCTTCTGTTTTGGAGCCTCTCTTCTATCGAGCGTTACCAATACCAGAGGAAGGAGGCCTTGTACATAAACACAAGGCTCCCTATGAATATGGAGGTGTAGTTTGGGGGTGCTCTATAAAATGTGTTAAAATTTCTTCCCTAATCATTTCCTGATATGAATGGCATTTACTAGATGAAGTTTCACATCTTTGTTCTGGTATTGTCTTGGATGTAATTATTTTAATTAACTTCAATGGTTCAGAGAAGGTAAGGTGGGTCTTCAAGCTTATTAACTATTGATCACTTGCAAAGATACTAGGGCTAGCAAAGTGGAGTTATAGTTTTGCATGGGGTACCATAAAGATACATTTGTGTTCTTTTTGAACAGTGTGTGGCATTGGTACATATAATGCCATCTGCCTTCAGTTATATAATCCATTCTGTAAGAAGATAGAGTCACTTTTAAAAATGGGAGTGGGAGGAAGTGGGTGTGTTACATAGAGCTGACATCTTTGTGAACCTAGGGCCTTTAAACGGTATTTCTTGAAAACTTATAAGGAAAAACATGATGGCTTTTAAATGTTGTCGAAATTTAGAACTTAATAGTGTCAAAGTCAGATTTAGGAGGAAGATACAGTTGTAGGATTATTTGCTTGATTATCATCTATATAGTAAGTATTTACTTAAAGAGATGGCATGTCTTCTAATTAAACATGCCTCTTAAGGGTAATCAAGCTGGTCAAAATTCCATTGTATACCTCATTTGGGCACAAACTTATAAAGCTCAGAGGTGTCATGAGAGCCTGTGATATCTTCAGCACACAGTACCATTATACATTTAGTAAGCCCTTAGTTATTGAGTCCTCATTGTATAGACAAGGCAAGAATTCCCTGGTGTGATAATCTGACCATATATTTGGCATCTGATGTGGGATACAGTGTGAAAATATAATTGGCTCACCATTTAGAATAATGCATCTAGTCATGAAGAATAACCATTCTCTGAGAAAGCAACCAGTGCTGAGTTATTTTGGCTAGAGAATTAACCAGGGGTGACCTCTGTGCCTATTACAATTATCCAGAGCTTGGATATATTTCTGTTCTAGAGTATCTTTAGAAAAGATTAATCAGAATAAAATAGCACAGTTATCACTAGATATTTTGACTAAGACTAAAATTAGTTTAGATTACTGGCAAGGCTAGGCAGGCTAGTTTATGACTGTGAGACTCTGACCTAGATGATATGTTAAGTTTCTGATAAAATGTATTGTATGGTATTATATAATCCTCTGGTATTGTATGAGTAGAGACTATGTAATCCAAATGGAATGAGCAGTTCCACTGGCATCTGCATATAGGTTCTTTCTTAAAGTTTTTCTTGTAATAAAGTGGTGTACGTACACACACACACACACACTATATATATATACATACATATATATAATAACTTATATAATCTATATTTGGTAGACAAGGCCATGCCACTAGATCACTGTCATTTATCTGTAAGAAATTTCAAAACATGAGTCTCAAAGTATTTTGTAAGAAACAAGGTTATTGCTTGGGTTGTTTCTACAGAAGGGAGCCCTTGGATGGATTGGATTCAGGATGCACCAGAGTTTAGTTGGAATTCCATCACTCATCTGAAAATCCCACTATGTGAAACAGTGAATCTTTGATATCCTAAGGAACTCAAGACCTTTGCAGACTGACTCCTCTTTTGGCTCCCTCCAAAGCCTTCTACAGAGATTGCATTCTCCAGATCTTCTGAGCTCTAATATTTGAGCTCCCCAGGCTGCTGGCTGCTCTTCTCATGTGTATCTTGCCTTCAAAACCACATTGGTATATTTTCTTGTTGTTTGAAGGTCAGGAGAAACACTGACAAAACCCTTCTAATTGCTTCTTCCTTAAAGGATGGGAATTCTATCCATAGCTACTCTAGGAATGTCAATAAAGTAGCTGTTATCTCTTAAACACTGCACACAAATATTCAGGTAAATCTGTGTGAGGTCTTAATGTGGTAGGAGGAGGTAAAATATTCAAGGTATATACACAGGAATAGGCAAGGCTGGAGCAAAATATTTTTTATTTATTTACACAAAAGAACCAAAATTTAGTGCTTTTGCTCCCCAATGAACAGATATAGCTCAAACTGAGGGTGCGTTTCTAAACAGCATGGATTGGAAGTGATGTGTCCAGCAATCAGTATATGAGATCTCAGCATCACACACAAGGTCTTCTAACAGAACTCATGGCAAAGGCATCCATACTAGTACTCATCAAAGAATGGAAAGCTGGGGTGAGCATTAAACCTACAATGAGAAAGAATAGTGCACAATGTGTCTGATGTTTGATGGCTGTTTCTAGTATAAGATTTCTACAGAGTTGTCACTGAGATGAAAGTTGAAAACTTTCTTTTCTTATAAGCCATGTGACATGTGTTCTTACTTTTAGAAATGGTATTTTATAATAACTCTGAGGAAAAGCAAATGAGCTGTTCAAATACATTTTCCTTGGAACTTAACACATAGAGAACCCAGAGTCAATAATTGAAATACATAAATCTTTCTATAAAGTAAACAAAGACGACCAGTTCTTTTTAATGCAAATTCTGAATGAAGAAGAGATGATTTTGTCTCATTTTGAATTGGGGCAAGTCTACATATGTTTTCGACAAGAATAAATACTTTTGGGGGATAATGAGACGGCTCAGCAGGTAAAAGTGCTTGCTATCATCCCAGGTGACTTGAGTTAGATCCCTGGTATCCTCATGATATGAGGAAAGAATAACTCTTGCAAGTTGTCCTTTGATCTTCATATTCATGGTATGTGTGTGAATACATACACACCAAATTAAAAAGCAATAAAAAGTTAAGAGATAAAGTAACCTATAGCATATTGTTTACTAACTGCTTATGGTATGGGATATGCCATGTTAGATTCAGGATTAGAAGAAGTGCCATTTATGAGACAGAAGTTCCGTGTCCAAGGAACTTACTTCATAGTAGTATGAAAGTGATAAAATGATTTATCATTGTAATAGGAGCAACAACCACTGATTGCTTGCCATTATTTCCATCTCTTTTAATAAGTGTGTTTACTTCATTATTTTACATATTATTAAAATATTACCAATATTTTTTAATATAGGTAATAACTCACCATACAATTTTGGGTAACATGCTATTGTACAGTCTAATACATTTCATGTATTATCATGTTCAATTTGAATTAACTATCAATAAATTTTCTCACAAGAAAAATTCTTTGCTTAACCTCTTTTATATTATATATCTTTTTGTAAATTATATAGTCTTTGTAGACAGCATGAGAAAGAATAATAATCATTTGTTGAGTATAAATAGTGTTCTATTTACCACAACAGTCCAGACATTCTTGAGAAAATGTTTGTCTGAGTCCTGAACACACATACAGTGCAAAGGAAATAAGAGGTTTGATATTAAAGCCATTGAATTAGTAAGATTCAATAAGAAATTCCATATGGAGAGGGGTGAGAGCTGTTGATGAAATTGCCTTTGATTTAGTAAGAAATTGAGCAGATTTTAGATTATGACATTGTGAAAATGATTATTACAATATTTAAACATGTGACATCAAAGACCTGTAGGAAGGATAGACTCAGCATTGATGTTGGCTGACCCAGCACATTTCATGCAACTGACACAAAGTGGCATGTGTATCAGATAAAGGTAACCCTGCATACACTTCCCTTTTGCTGTGTCCAAGAGTAAAACTCTGACTGAGTCTAGAAAGAGAATTCTAGAAATCTGTGTCTTCTCTAACTTCATTCTTTGATTTCCTCATACTGAGGTAACGTTTGAAAGACATGCTATTAAATTAATCTCCTTAGAAAATAAGGGGAGAACCATAATAATTACAAAAATTATAAAAGTTACTTACATATTACCATGAAAGTACCGTAAATTTCTGTTCAGGCCATCTAGGATTTTCATGTGATCTGAAGTCAATTGAAAATCAAAAACCTGTTATAGAAGTAGAAATGTTATTTTAAATATGTTTATCAATCTGAGACAATAGACAATATTTAAAACATCTGAGGAGCCCTCCCCCAAGTTCTCAAAGTCACCAAGTAAAACATTGAAAACCAAATTAGAAAAAAAAAATAAATAGAAATACATCATCACACATAATACATAAAACTACAGACAAAGATTTCAAAGGACACTGGAGAAGAAAGCTGACAAGATTCAAAAAAGGTATTATCATATATGCAAAATATTCATAGAAGTGCAGAGACAGTTTTGAAAATATGCTTCAATAATTTTCATGGATACAGTTGCATCTATATATCTTATCCAGGAAGAGTTGGGATGAGGAAAATGTCATTTTCAACATTACTGAAAGTGGGAATTGTATTGAGATAGTTACATTGTCCTTCCGTGGCACTGACCACGCCCATTTGGGGGTGGAGCCATGGGTGGAAGTGACCTGTGGAAGGAGGTCTGAGGAAGAACGTGGAACGCTCTTGCTGGCCGGACTTTGACAGGAGAGCATCCAGTGGAACTTGCTGGTGTTCATCTGTTTAGGTTGTAAGTTATTTCTCCCTGAATAAACATCTATTCAGCCTATTTGTTTATCCTGATCCTTATTTAACCGCAATAGGGAATTTCTCAATTATTAATGATTCCTAGTCAAGGGACTCAGAAACTGTCTGGAAGAGGACTCATTGTATATAATTCCACCCAGTTTTATCATGAAAAAGATGATCACTAGCTATTACAGTATTAAAACATGGGTCCATAACTGATTGGTATTACTCTAAAATAGTGTTATAGAGAAAGAATAATGTATTAACAATTTAAAATTTAACAAATTTAGGTAAGAGATATACTGCCTAATTTATGAAACCTTTTGCACATTTGGAAATTCTAAGACTAAAGAAGAAAGATAAGGATGTATGAAGGATGCACCATAAGAGTGCTGGTGGTGGGCTTCATTACCTGCATGTTCTCTCTGATTCGCTCCTCATTGAAACTCTTGACCAGGACCACAATCCCACGCTGTAGCTGGTAGCGAAGGGCAATTAGGGCTGGAGTCCGCTTGTACATCTTTGCCATTGCACAGAGAACTGGATCGTCCAAGAGAACTGGGGTATCTTCATTAACACTGGAAAGAAAGGCAAATTCCAGAATCTGTGCATCTTCTTTGTTGCCAGGGTTGAATACAGATGAAAATGCCCACAAGAACCCAGGAATTCTCAAATGTAGTCAGTGCACTAGCAGCAAATCATCCTCCGGGACCTTGCAGAAATGTAACCCCATCTGACTGAGAATGAATTCCAGAAACCTGACTACTGTAGCTAAGAGTATGTTAACAGTCATGACTTAGGAATGACATCTGCTGTTCTCATTACCAGTATTTATATCTCTGAGTTCCCAGCGCACCATAGGCAACCAGGATTATGTCATTCATCTTGCAGTACTCCAGCAGCTTGCTCTGGTTGAGATAAGGATGACATTCTACCTGTATATGAACAGAATAGGAAGGTATAACAATATATGAAATCTCTTATCAATATCAAAGAAATATGAAGGGGAAGGAAGCCGAACAAAATAATTTAGCATGGAATATGCATTGAGAATATCATGTCATGGATACATGACTCAAACAGGGGAAGGGAAAATAGATAAGATGTCCTGGGTAAACTGGGGGGTGGGGGGGTGCACAGGGAGGGGGAGGGGGTGGGATATGAGAACATGAGGGAATGGGATGTTTGAGTTGGGGGAGGGATGTAGAGAGAGAGAACAAAGAAAGAGATACCTTGATAGAGGGAGCCTGTATAGGGTTAAGGAGAAACCTGGTGCTAGGAAAATTCCCAGGAATCTACAAGAATGAGCTCAGCTAAGACTCCTAGCAGCAGTGGAGAGGGTGCCTAAAGGGGCCTTCCTCTTTAATCAGATTAGTGACTACTCTAACTGTCATCATAGACCCTTCATCTAGTACCTGATGGAAGCAGATGCAGAGATCGACAGACAAGCACAAGGCCAAACTCTGGGAGTCCAGTAAAAGGGAAGCAGGAGGGATTATATGGGCAAGGGGGGGGTTCAAGATCATGACCTGGAAACCCACAAAGACTGCTAACTCAGCTGGTGGGAGCACATGGAGTCCGGACTGATAGCTGGGGAGTCTGCATGGGACTAAAGTAGGCCCTCTGCATATGGGTGACATTTGTATGGCTTAGTCTGTCTGTGGGGTGCCTGGTAGTAGGACCAGGTTCTATTCCTGGTGCATAAGCTGGCTTTCTAGAGCTCATTTTATATTGTGGGATACCTTGTTCAGCCGTGATACATGGAGGAGGGGCTTGATTCTATCTCAACTAAATGTGCCAGGCTTTGTTGACTCCCCATGGGAGGCCTTACTCTTTCTGAGGAATTGATGGAGGATGAGTTGAGGGATGGAATGTGGGGAGGGGGAACTGGAATTGGTATGTAAAATGAATTTAAAAATGTTTTGAAACAGAAAAAATTCGAATAAATTTAATATCTCTCTTGGGAAGTTAATATAAAATAACCATCTTGAAATTCAGTAATTCAGTGGGCCAGATCTTGGATGCTAAATACCAATTTTACTGTGATGGACATGACAAATTCCATGAATTCACAGAGTTTTGAATATTGAATTATAGACTGAAGCAGGGATTTAGTCAAATATTCATTGAGGTAAAATCTAAAAGAGAACAGCAAGTTGTTAAAATTTTTTTCAGTGATACTGAGTTGATCTCTGCATTAGAAGAAGAATAAATAAAGTAAGTAATAGAAAAGATGGAAAGGAAGGAGGGAGACACAGAAAGGGAGAGAGAACATAAAAATATTGCTCTCTAATGATGGTGGTTATTTTATTAATTTCTTTCTTAGAGTATTGACAGTTAAAGGAAAGATGTCAAAGTGCAGCTTATCTTACAGTTTGTAAGTTTGTTTGAACTGTATAACTAACTTCTTTTTACACTATATGTCATTCCAAAAAATGAATTTAAATATCAATATATATGTTAACATCAACGGGGGAAATTTCACAGGTCCATTCCTAGATTATATAATTGTTATAAATATGACTTCTGTTTTATTTCTCTGAAATTTATATTTGAAATTAATACGTTATTATGTACCCAACACATAATTGTCACATTTTTCTAACAGAGAAAACATTTCTTTTTTCTTTTTTTTTTCTAAGACAGATTTTTCTCTGTGTAGTTCTGACCATCCTAGAACTCATTTTGTAGACCAGGCTGGATTCAAATTCAGAGATCCACCTGCTCCTGCCTCCTGAGTGCTGGGGTTAAAGGCATGCATTACCACTGTCTGGCCAAAAATTCTTATATATAAGTTATGGAAAGTATCTCAGATCAGAAAATCAACACACAGTAGACACTTTCAAGCAGCAGATCACCTCTAAGTGTTGATACAACTTCCTGAGTATGGATTTAATCTACTAGACTAGTATTGCATACTTTTCACTGTTCCTTTATTGATTCAGTGTGTAGCCATCATTAGTATCTCAAGGACAAGTGGATCTTCCTTCTGAAGAATGAGTAATGACTTCATCTCCAAATGATAGCTTTGACTTCTCTAAAGCATCATTGTTTTGCCTTAGGAAGCAAAGATACAATTACAAGTCCTCCAAAGAACCCTGGGATGAAGACTCTATTGTTAGCACATTATAAAAGAGGTGGACAAGTAGGGTGGACACACAGACATGTCAATAGGACATGAGGAAAACAAAGAAAACCTGAAGGAAATTAGATAAGGGAGCTCACCTGGTTGCATACAGGCTTATACTTGAGCCCTGGTTTGTTCAGGATCATCTCTAGCTGCCTACGGTTAAAGTTGGATACCCCAATGGACTTGGCTAATCCTGCATCCTTACACTTTTCCATGGCCTGGGGAGAAAATATTGGTGAATAATAGCATATGCAATTGGAATCTGATTGCTAGAAATGCAATGCTGTGTTGCTAGAAAAAATAGTGCCAAGAAAGGAAGGTGAAGTTGACTGGTATTTACTGGTAAGAACTGACTGATAATTAATAAGGTAAATGGCAGAGAAGTCCCGTGCTCTTCTTAGGCAATCATGATTATTGTATAGGGAGGAAAGCAGGTTATGGTTATCCTCTCCAGTTTCACCTTGTTTTCACTATGCATTTTCCTTACTACTTAAGCAGAACATTCATGAGAAAGACCATAATGTCTACAGCAAAGATAACTCATCCCTTTTCTACTGGTGGAGTTGTGTGAATTTGACCTCTCTATGTTTTTCAGTAACACTCACTGAATTGGTTCTTTGAAAATGTCATACATGTATTAGTGCCTTCCAAAAACTGTAATCCCCATACCTTCTAGTAATCTTTCTCCCACATCTATCCTCCTACCCAACAAGACTCTTTCCCATATTCATTTCTTTTTGTTTTGAGGCCTTTCTAATTTAACCAGGATTATCAACATGATCATGGATTTGGAAATATCTATTGGCACTGATGGGTTCCTGTGTGGATACCTCACTGAGTACAAAGACTGCCCCTTCCCCAGAATCTATTGCCAGTAGCCAGTTCACTATGGAGGGATAGGGCCACATGAGTCCTTCCAGGATTGAGGATCAACTGCTGACAAACTTTATCTTGCACAGGCTTATTTGGGGGTTGTGGGCACCTGCTGAGTGGTCATGCCTGCTCTGTATTGCTTGCATTGTGCCCAGAAGACCACATTATTCTCTCTGTCTTTGACTCTTACATTCTTCCTGCCCTTCCTTCTGAGGTGTTCTCAGAGTTGTAGAAGGGCTGATCACTCAGAGGTCACATTCTCTTCCTCTATTCTTTTCTGTGGTGTTTATTATAGTCACTCACCTCCCATGTGGCACAGAGATCCACTGTGTCAAGTAATAGGTTTCCACGTTCATCTTGAGGTAAAATATCATTCCCTGGCTAGAATAGTAATAGTCATTAAAGAGGTCTTATCATTTTAACATCTCTTCCTGTAGCTGTGCTCCCAGATACATTTATGGTTGGGAATTAATCCCATAACATAGATGAAACAACTTTTCATATATTAATGAAGTGCCTTTCATGCAGTTGTAAGTGATGTCTTTCAGCAACTGTACTTTATATTTTCATATGTGTGATAATAAATAATACATTCCCATGTCCTGTGGTATGTATTATTTGATACATTACTTTTGTCCATCTTTCTCTGACAATGTTACTAGTGTCATGAAAGTGATTTCAGGTGATTTGTATTGTATCCTTGACAAGGGATAATCAGGGCTCCAATCCATGGACTTTAGTGCTTTGAGTGCATGAGTGATAGAAAGTTACGGAAGAGATAAAAAGTCAATTGGTTCTTTGTAAGATGGACTTTGATGATGGAATATATAGGAAATCAGCAAATATTATTGAGCATAAGCTTTGAGTTAAAGGCCTTATTTAATCATCAATAGAAATGGCTCATACAAAACTGACCAATCCTCTAATTGAATAGAGTCAAGGTATGGATAAGTGGAGATATTTCCAAAGATAACTCTTTAGCTTTGCTCCTTGCATGATGTGGTAAACTTTTTCATGTAAGTTATATTGAGTAATGTTTTAAAATTTTTAATATTTTATTTAATTTTGGTATTTGTGTGTACAACAGAGGAGATGATCAGAGGACAACATGTATGAATCAATTCTTTCCTTCCATTATTTCTGCAGCTACACCTTGTTGTTTTATAACTTGTATAAGTAAATTGAGGTTATATATATATATATGTATATATATATATACATATATATATATATATATATAATAAATTAAGTCCATCTACTCACAAAATGAAAGTTATGTTGACAGCTAAAGTTAGTTCAATATTATACATTGCCTACCTTCAAAGACACTGGGAAATGAATGAGATAGAGGTCAACATAGTCCAAATTAAGTTTCCTCAGTGAACTTTCCAAGCTGGGTCTGACCAACTCTGGACGATGGGACGTTGACCAAAGCTACAGAATATAAATAATGGGAGTTGTTTTGATTAATACATTACTATAGTGAGTGGCTTTCTGTCCCCTAGGATTGAGAAATTTTCTTTTCATTCACATATTAGCATATCATATATTCTATTACTCCGTTACTTGAGATCTTGGACACAACACTATCACATTAATACCAGGAACATCTAGTACCCAGAACTTGGATTCTTTCTTGGGGGGGGGTTGGGGCTTTTTATTTTATATTTTTTCTTATTTTAAATATCTATCCCAGTTCCCTCTCTCTCCCTTCCATGCCCCTGAGTCCCCCTCCCATCCTATTTCCCCCCCCCCAACTTCATAGGGAGGATGATGCCTTCCTGGAGGAATCATCAGAATCTGTCAAGTCATTTGGAATAGGGACTAGGCCCTCCCTCCTGTCCTAGGTTAAGGGCGTATCCCTCCATGGGGAACATGCTCCCAAAGTCCTCATGGTTCCACTGTCAGAGGTCCCTTAGACTTCCCAGGCCTTCTTTTCAACTTCTTAAAAATTGACCACAAGAAAAAGAAAAGAAAAATACTGGCTTTCATCCTGAATATATTATGATGGTATCCATCTACATAATCCCTCATATGAGTGGTTGTTATTAGTAAATATGACAAAATTGGAGCAAATTTCTTAATGTATAAATACATTATTAATTTGTACTATAATAATGTCTTAGAGAGAAATTTAATATTTTAATTCCTTCACCTACTGAACTCAATGTGGAAAAATTCAATATCCCTTTAATATATACAACTCAAGGAAAGTTTTTTTTTAAAATATTTTAATATATTGTCAGCATAGTACTAGACACTTTAGCTATTCCTTCATTTGGTACCCAAAGGGTTATTCTATGATGTCCTGTCTTATCTATACATATGATGTATATTCATAATTTGCAACAACATTCACAATAAGGGAACTTTGTAGTCACAGCAGCGTGATAACACAGTTCACTTTAAATCATAGTACTTTCAGCAGAGTCTCAGAAAAGCAAGGGGAATTTACATTAAGCTTGTAAGTTTAAATACAGCAATACTGAGACAGCCATCACCTCCTCACGTTTAATACTGAATGAAATATGTAGGCATTCACGAATAAAAGATTGCCTATAAAGACAATTAGCCAGCTATAGGTTGATCATACCATGTCATTTGAATACATCCCTCTTCACTAATTTGCACAATCATGCATTGTATATATAATACCTTTGAAGTACAGAATATATCTTCCCTTTTCACAGTGCCATCTTCAATCTTGCTTCGAATTGCCTGTCCCACCTCTTTTTCATTTTGGTAGAAGTGAGAACAATCAATATGGCGGAATCCAACATCTATAGCTATTTTGGTAGAATCCATAGACTTTTTCTTGAGATGCTATAGAAAGAAACAGTATTTAAAGATGTCTATGTTTAAGTTTAGTATAAGCAATAACTTTTATAAGAAACAATTTCTCTACATGTTTTCATTCAGTTCTGCTTAGAGTGATGGATCTATCCAAGTTTCAATGGGTCTTTCCCAATAAAAACATTGGCAAGAGATCTAAGTTTCCATAAATCAGCAGACTCTAGTCTTAAAATAGTGACTAGTATGCTATGTTAAACTTATTGTAAGCAGTTAAATAATATACATGCCACGAGTAAATATGCACAGTGAAGATAAATTCTCAAAAGACATAGAGTTATACCAAGAAACTATCCAGATCACAAAGGAAAATTTCAAATAGTTGTCAGATTTTACAATGAAATTCACAATTTTAGGAAAATTATAAATAAAGCAAAATTTAAAACTGTTTTGTTTTCCAAGTTTGGTTAAAAGATAAAAAATAGTGACTTATTTATTATTTACTAATTAAATTTATCTTTTATTTCATGCTTTAGTTCTAAAGGTAAGAAGAATAAAATAACTGTAAACATTTCTTTCTGAAACAGTGTTAAAGGGTTTTCTAGACAAGTAATAATCATAATGTTTCTTAAATTGGAACAAGTTAAAGAAATGATGGCTGTTCTGAAGGAAAAGCCTCAGAAGGAAGTAGCTAGAGATCTGTGGAATGTTCACTATGGCTTTGGGAGCTCCTACAGGCACCCGTGTGACTAGGGCTGCCCTGGATTGGAGAGGGGGGAAACAATGAAACCAGTATGAAAATATTTCCATGTTTTATCAAACCCTTCAAAACCAAATATGGAAACCTGTTATATGTGACTGTTCTTAACCTTGTAATTTCATAGAGATCTAAAAGTAAGTTTTTTTTCAATTATTAAGCCAAGAATTTTATATCACTAATGGAAGAGAAAAATAATCATCAATTTATATATCGTGAGCCCTACAAGTTTCAATATGTAGCAAGATATGCCCGCTGCTACATAATGGGATGGATATTATGGTAATAACTAACTGTTCATTTGGAGTTAAGCCCTAGTTCACAAGACAGTATCATACCTGCCATCCTTACTGGAGTAATGAACCTTGATTAGACAGATCATAAGCCCTACGGAATTTAAATAGATGTAGACTTAAACTGACTCCTAATGCCTTATTTATCCTTATATGCATAGATTAATGAGTGTTTCAACTGTCACCAGAGAAGGTAATCAGGATATATTGTATGAGAAAAGAATCTATTCTCAATAAAAGGGAAAAATTACAAAGCCATAAGTATGAAACAGAATGATGACATATGTATAACCAGAAAAATGATAGCTACTTTTTGTAGGAAACTAAAACAGATTGTGGCACTGGCATAAAATTGAACACGTAGATGAAGGGAATAGACTATAGACTTATAGAAGTGAATTTATGCTCCAAATGATTCTCAAAAAAGACCCTGAAACACAAATAAGAAAAATCCAGGCTTTTCAACCAGTGACACTAGGAACACTGAATATCCCCACACAGAGGATGGAAATGTGACTGAAATCTGCAGCCTGGTATAAACATCAATTAATGCAAATCAAAAACATTAATATAAGAACTGAGATGATAAAACTACTAGAAGGAACATGAAGGAATCTCTTTAAAAAACTGCATAGATAATTTTTGGCCATTTTCTCCTAAGTACAGCATACAGTAGCAAAAGTAGACAAATGATAGTATATTAATTTAAGGATGTTTTGCATAATAATGGTAATAGTCAACAGTGTAAAGAAAACAATCTACAGAATAGGAAAAAAAGTGTTAGCCAATCTCATAGTTATCTCATAAAGACTAATATCCAGAATTTATATCGAACTCAGAAATAACAAAAGGAATGGAACATAAAAATGCATGGATTGAATAAACATTTTTCAATGGTTAGCAAATAAAATGTCTATGTAATATTATGCATTATCAGATAGTGAAAATTAATTTTTCTTTTTCTTCTTTTCTAGGAATCAGATAAAAACATAAGGAAAGTCTTTGATATTTGGAGCAGAATCATGATTACATGATCAAACCCTGGTACAGAACACACAGTCTGCCTCACTCTTCTTACATGGCATAGCTCTAATCTGGTGACACAGAGGACCAAAAACCCACCAGGATAGCACAGAAATTGGTAACTTCCATTCTTTTATGTATATGCATATTCATTCCAATCCTCAAACCCAACACCACCCCTGTTACCTCTTCAGTTGCATAGGTGCCAAAGCCCAGGGTAGGTATGCAGTGGCCATCATTTAATTCCATTTTCTGAGTTTTGGAACTCATTTTCATTCACTCCTCTGACCTAGAAGACTCTTTCTTCTGCTCTCACATGGCAACGAACAAGTCCAAATTATAGCTCCAAATGTGTGTGACTAATCATTAATCAATGGCATGGAGGCGGAGTTGATTACAACAGTATTCTACTTGTAAGGAAAGAATTGGCACCAGTCCACTTATTTTTATAAAAAACAGAATTTGTTAGATATTCTTACATAGTGATCCCCAAATGACTTTATTTAATAAATGTTGTAATTAGAATGCTCTGTACATTTTAAATTGCTGTAAGAGACTGAGTAGTTATTGGCCATTTCTAGAGTAAAAATCTTGAGATGGCTATTTGCTTAGTTTTTTTGTTGTTATGTTATGAAGAAAACTCATTACTCATTTACTATGGACAATCCAGAATATTTCAACAACCTACAATGGTGACTTTTGATTTTCTTCCATTTTTATTTGGCTCAATTTTTCTAGAGACAATATCCACAAAAACCAAAAATACTTTTCTAGATAGAATGACCCTCAGTTATCTCGAAGGTGATGAGGACACTCATCTCATTTGTCCACTTTCTATTTCTTTTATCTCTTTTCCATATTTTCCAATTTTAATGTAGTTTTCTCTTTTTGTGTTTTATACTTCTTGGAGAAATGAAGAATTGGACACACATCATTACATTTTCTTACATAGAACATTTTGGATATTGAGGTGAAATTTAAGGTTGATATAAATAACAGAAAGTTCAACTCTACTGAAGTCTGAGTGGTATCCTATTTGATTACATGTCCTTTGAACCTGATCTGTTAACTAGTCCTGTAACAGAATTAGGGCAAAATAAATAATAAAATACACAGTGAAAAATTCCCAACACCAAGAATGCCTATACCAGAGAGATTTTCATTTCAAAATAATTGGGAACAATGATTCCTTAATTTTTCCAAAAGAGGTTTTAGTTGGTTTTATGAGGTCAACATCACCTTGTTATTAATCCAATCACAAAACCTATAGAAATGAAGACCATAGAACATTATCTTTTATGAATACTGGTGTGAAAAAGCTTTAAAAATACATAGGTACTCCAAATTGAGAAATATATTACATAAATCAAACACAATACTGAAAGAGATTCTATGCAGAAACTCAAGAATGATTCTACATGGAAACTTTGTTCATTGTAATACACATTAGGGAAAACTTGATCTTGTCAACTCATATAGAAAACCACTTTGTAAAATGTAACTTTCAGGTGTGAAACAGCAAGCAAATTAGAAAAGTCCTCAACTTAACAAAGGATATAAATGTAGCCTTGGGTATCCACTGATGGTTTTGTTATCTATTCTTTGTCAATGTTTAACATCATGTTGTATGTATATTTTGCAGTTTCTGAGGAGACATTGCTCTGTCCTGATGTATTTTGCCACTTTAGAGATGCTTGTCCTACATATAAACTCAACTTAGGGGAGAAAATTAAGATAATACATACACACACACACACACACACACACACACACACACACACACACACACTCAAAGATTGACTCTCATGTTACTACTGAATATGTTTCAGTTTAGAAGATAGGCCCTATTAGAGAAAGGTTAACTTTTCTCAGAAGGACAGATATTAAATATTATAAGATGGTTCACGTCTAGATTTGTATCCAAAATATTGCAAAGCAAGTCATCAGAAGGATATTTTCATGGCAGTACTCACTCAATTCATAATATTGGGGATAGCCAATATTAGAATAAAGAGATGAATGAACAAGCAAAACTACAGCATATACATATGTAATATTATTCAGCCTTGGAAGAGATACTAATGTCATCAAATAACATGGATGAAACTTAGAGATATTTCCCTGAAGTTTAAAGTATTTATTTCCCTGAAGTTTAAAGTATTTATGAATACATAATTGTTATATAGAAAAGTGAGTTTATTTTCATAAGATGACAATATCATATGCACACACAGCACTATGCTTTAATGAGATATATCTACACATCACACAAACTTACTTTACCCTCCCTTTCCCCTGCTTGAATCCCTTTCTTCCTATCTAATATTTCTCTTGAATGGTCATGCTACCTTTCCCCCCACAGAGTCCATGTAAGGAAATAATATATGACTCTATTTGAGCCTGGATTATTTTTGCCTATTTTTATTTGCCTATTTGTTTATTTCATCACATTACTAATGCCTTTACTTCTCAAAACAGAAAACCTCATCCTATTATTCATTCATTCAGAGGAGTCACAAAACCTCAAAAGCCTCGAAAAGCTTGAAAAGGAATTCCACAATGCTACTCCCACTTCTTTATGTCAAAATTTACCTCAAAGTGGCAGTGCTCAGAATAGTATGACAGTGTAATAGAGATGAGTAATTATGGAGAATAAAAGGAGAATACCTAGAAATAATCCCTTATTTATGTGGTATTATGATGCTTGATAATGGTGCCAACACCACCCAATGAGGAAGGAATCATCTTTCAGAAAGTGGTGTTAGGGAAACTTGACATCTCAATATAAAACAATGAACTTTAAACTGTCTCACAGTCAATACAAAAATATCTCTTAATGGGTCAAAGACCTATGTATAAGAACAAAACCTTCAACAGCAATGAAAGAAAACACAAGAATAAAAGCTTAGTGAAACTGGATTTGACTATGATTTCCTGGTTCAGACATGAAAACAGACAGCAAAAGGAAAAACAGATTTTTATTTATTTTATGTATATGAATGTTTTATCAGCATGTAAGTCTGCATGCCTGGTGGCCATGAAAATTACAAGATAGTGTCAGAGAACTCAGAATTGAAAATATGGATGGTTGTAAACCTCCATATGGGTGTGAGGAATAGATCTAGACATCTCTAAAGGTGCAAAATGTGCTATTAAACACCAATCTATCTCTTTAGCCTCCCTCATAGATAAATTTAACTTTATCAAAACTTTAAACATATTACAACAAGGGGTGAATACCTTCCTGTGAGTTCCTGCCAGGAAGGTCTCAGAATCTCACAAAACAATACAGATGATTGCCATTGCTCTTGGTACCCACTAGAGATCAATAGTAAAACTTTATTACTCAAGGTACAGCATGACTGGGTTACAGGGCATAAAAAAATGAAGCTAGAGTTGAGCTAGAAGCTTTCCTCCACTGGCTACTCTTCTTAGTTTTAGAAGGTGCTGTTTAGGGTACTGGGGGAGAAAAATCATCAACAGTCTTACCCATATATGAATCTTTCCATCTTCAATAAGGACATGATTAAAAAGGTGTGTTTTCCTGTGCAATAGCAGCATTATTGTTATTGTGTGAGCAACTTTTTTCTAATTGGATTTTAGGCTTGCTCCACAGGAAGACCTCAGGCTGATTTTATAAATCTGGTCAAGAAGACCCTGTGGTTGAGAAGGAACTTACTATTGGTGGTTTGGTAAATAGTCTTATTGTCAAACTTCCTCATAAATACTATTGTTTATTAGTGTTATGCCTATCCTTTATCAGAAAAGTTTTTCACTATAGCAAGTGGTGGTTAATGCAGACAATTGGCTTCAAGTTGGGCCAAGAGTAAGTGATAGTAGAATCATCAGCCTTAAATGACATCATCTCTCCCAGGATCAGGGAAAAATGTAGAAAAGATGTTGGGAAAATGTAAGAACCAGAGACTGGGGAAGATGTACATCAGAATGACATCCTTTGAACGTGACATAGCAACTGTGCTCATGAACACACTGTAGCTGTAGCTATTTGCACAAAGTCTGTATACAACTAGGCCAGTCGACATGTTTTCACAGATGAGAGAGGAGCCCACGAGGCCCCAGTTCTCCCTGTGTGACTATTGGCAATTAAAGGCTGTTGTGTGAGGGAGTGTTATTTTCTTCAGTGGTATAGCCATTGGAAAGTTAACTGTGCTCAAGTAAATAATTCTCCAGCCATGCTGAGGCAAGAAACTCCAACTAAAAGCAGGGGGGCACACACTAAAATAAAACATAAAGGTAGAAGGGAAGCACTGTTGGGAAGAAAAATTTTAAGGGATTAAGGGAGAAGGTGAGAGATGGGAATGGGGAATAAGACATTAAAATTCACTATATAAACATATAAAATGCAATGCTTAAATAATAACAAATATGTTTGAAAATATAGAAACAAACAATAAAAAAAAAAAAAAAACATTTGTCACACTGAGTAAGACTATCCAGGTAGTCAAATGGCAACCCATAGCACATGTTTCTAATGAGGGATCAATACAAAGAATTTGAAGAATCCTTCTTAATGCAATTACAAAAGTGTCAACATGTCAATGTGTGCTTTTGTAAAGGCTTAATGGGTTTCTTTTAAAAGAAAATGTTCAAGTTATCAGTGATATAAAACAAAAACTGTGAAAATGAAAAACAAAATAATAGTGACATATAATTTTGTCATTATTATGTGGCTACTCAAAGAAAGGATACTTGGGGGAAATTCCAAATTACTAGAATTCATGTGAACATTGTTAGGAATGAACTGGGAATTAGTTCTGTACTGAGAATGATCCATGATAGTTGTACTTTGGGTTTTGATTAAGATTATTTGCATATAGCAAGAGGGAGAATAAGAATAAAACCTTAAACAACATGTGAATACAGAGCTTCAGATTACAAACATCATTCAGCAGGGACTACCAGGGAGGTGTTTTTTTCTTTCTCCTTCCTCTAGGGTTGGGTAGGGAGCACAGTTCATTCCTGAACAAGAGGTCGTGGAGGACACTTTGAGACAAATGTCCTGGGATCACAGATCCAAGGGTCACTACCTCCAGTGTCAGCTTTTCAGTAAACTTAAATACCACATGACAGTTTACTGATATAGTGAATGTTATACTTGACATAGTGTAGGTGATGAGTCTAACATATAAGGTATTAGTATCCTCCCCCTTAGGTTTGGTGTTGGCATCCTCAGTTTAATTTACCAAGAATTATATGCTGGTTGAACATTGTAAATGGAAATTGCTGAAATAAATAACCCTTGGGCTTTAAACTGGGAGATATCCTGGCTAGCCTGATGAAA